ATGGGAACAATAAACAGTTTATGTGGAGAGTAAATATACTATCAATATCCATGGAAACTGTACAGCACCCAGCACAATGGGGCATTGAATAGTGCACAACAAGCACAGAAGAAGAGACAATCCCTGCCTGATATGTAAAAAATCAACCTACCCAGTTACTGTCTGGTGGCTGCATTCATCCTAGGTGAATAACCCCTGCCTTAGTCAAGATACTGATCACAAATGGAGGGAGGACTTCACTAAATGTGCATCCTGCACAATACCACACCTGAGATTCAACTTGGAAACCTCCAGATTGCAGCAAGCAGCAGATCTACCAAGAAAGCTAAAAGGGAACTTCTCTCTAGCTGACTCACTGTGAGCTCAGTAAAGCTTGGGTTGTCTTTGCTGGAAGTTGCTCTTGGTGACACTTAGATGCAGAATGTAAGATATTCAAAGTGCCTCATTCAGCTTAAGTGACACAACCTCCATGCTACATAAGAACATGCAAACCTATGGAAGATGATTTCCCAGATCTTCTGCTGTCTTGTTGAGGCAGAAGACTAACATTTTTTGCTGTTTTGGACCTTATCCGATATTACAGGAGGGAAGACAGCAGATAATTTCAGTATTTGAGCAATACAGTTCATTAGAACTTTTAACGTTACCAGCTATGTACTAGCTACTTGCTTCTCCAAAATATGTTTGTCAAACTTAGTGAAGTTGGACACAAAAGGTGACAAGTTGCTTAGTCCTTCTGCAGAGCTTGCCTTTAAACTGATATTTTTATGAGGGATTCTTACATGCAATCCTTCCTAGAGGGACTCTACTCTGTTAAAGTCAATTGGTCATTGACTTTGATAAGAGCAACATTACACCAACACTGAAAGCTTTTGTAAATCCTTTTGTTCTACTAGTAACATGTCTCCAAACTTTTATCTCATTTACTGACAGTGTTGAGTCTCACCAGTGCTTCATGGTGAGACTTCAACCTATTGAGAAGTGTTGTATCTAGTTACCATAATAGCCAGAGCTGGGCAAGTACTTCAAAGTCTTACTCAAATAATTAATTGAAGTCATTTTGGACCTCATAACTCATTGGTGTTCATGCTTGTAAGTAGTGCAGCCTCACCCCATTGGCACCCCCTCATCTCTGATTGAAGCATTACCTGGGATCCTTGTCTCTAGTGCTCACTACCATGCTCTCCCTCAGCCCTACAATAGCCTTTCCCAACCTTCATCTTCTCCTGACTCTCCTTCTGGGTGTTCTGTGGCTTAGCCCTCCAACCAAGTAACATGAAAGCCTAAACTCCTTTTAGGGTAATACAAATGAGTCCACATAAAAATCCAAACAAATCTTCAAAATAATACCCTTTTTACACCTCTCACATACTGTAGTTCCCTTGTTGGACCTACCTCAGAGCTTTGCTAGCAGGGGATGACACAGGTCCTCTAGAGTTCTCTCTCCATTGTTTCCTGTCTGTACCTGTCTGTTTCCTGTCTGAACCCTACCCTAGGGCTTCTTCCCAGCTGAACTCCTCCAGTCTACTTATAAGGCCTATATCCACTGCCTTAGTCCAAGAGGCAATTAATCACCCATGTGCAGAGCATAACTAATTGGGGTTTTTATTCTTGCCTTGGTGGTGATGTGGATTCAGCCCCATCATAGTACCCCATTGAAGTTTACTACCTGCAGACAGCTGAGTGACAGATTAGTGGCAAGGATATTCATGTAACAGCCAGTTTTAAACAAACTGGACATTATGTGAAAAGCAAATTTTGAATATTCAAACTGTGTCCAACAGACCAAACTACTAAGTCTCCATCCTTTGATGTCTGGATGACTTTCTGGAAGATATGATTTAGTCAGTGCAAGCTATTGGGCTCAATGCAGTGCTGACTGGGTGAAATTCTATGGTCTGTGATATATAGAAGGTCAGACTAAGTGATATAATGCGTACTTCTGGTCTTAAAATCTATGGAGAATAAAAGGTATAGCATGTTACCTGCAGTATGTGTCCAATCAAAACAAGCCAACAGAAGTGGAACTCTGAAGATCCACCACTGTAATGACTTGCTGATGAACAATGTACTGAAGAAGTAGTAGACAAATAAATGTTTGGGGGGTGTAGAGGACCAGCTCAAGGCCTATGCACCATTTAGGTTCCATATAAGACCATGATACAAAACTCGGTGAAGTCAATGGAAAGCCTTCAACAGGGGTAGTGCACAAGCCTTGCGCTGGCCTTCTGCATAGCTGAGACTTTAGCCCTAGGTGAACATGCTTATGAACTCATAAGCTGCTCATGGGCAAGTCACAAACAGAAAAAGATGGTAAATTCAACAAATAAATGATTTACTATGCTTCATTTCCACAGCTCTAGTACTGACAAACATAAGCATTATTGTGTGGCACTGTGTAAATCTCTAGCCTTTTAAAAGTATGTTTTACAAGTAGCTGTCCCAAAATGTCCTGTGAGAGAGTCTGTTGGATCTCACAACTTAAGGGGAATGTGTTGGGACAGTGGTGCATGAAAGGATGTGGCAATTCAGTAGGAGGTGCGCTATTCCCTCAGTCTTTACTAAGCAAAGCCCAGGTATAGGGAAGTGCAGATCAGATGTAAAGTGAAGTTGTGACAGCTTGCAGTTATTAACAATCATGGTTTTTCTGTCAGAGTTGATGTTATGTCAGAGTTGATGTATGATGTTAACCCTAGTGTTGTTTCACCTCAGTAACCTTCATTTTCTGAGTTAAACTTTAAACTTCAAGACTTTCATTATAATCCTGATTTTGAGTCTCTGGCCCATTTAATCAAAATTACATAATGCACCACTGCCCTCTATTGGACAAAATGTATCTGTGTTTTTACAATAGATTGTGGGATCCCATCTGGCCCAATACTGGGCTGATGTAAACACAGTTTAGATTAGCAAACTAACTAATTACTAACGAGATATTGCAACGTAAATTATGAGATCAAGAAAAAAAATTAATGATTTGAAGAATACTTTGTTGATGGAGTGTAACTTTTTCAATAAGACCTTTACAAAAGAATAAAATGATGTAAGTGCAACAAAATCCTTTTTAATATTCCAAGAGTGATAAACAAGCACAGATAGAATTTACAGAAGCACTTTTGAAGGCACATTTATTCTCTCTCTCTCTCTCGCTGCAGATAAAGACCTGATCCTGTAATACTTATTCAGTTAAAATTCCCTTGCCTGACTAAGGAGTGGTGGTTTGGGGCCAATATGAGTAATAACCTTGATTCTGATCTCACACCAATGCAAATCAGAAGTAGCTCTATTGACATCAATGGAGTTATTCTAGTATAAGACTGGCCTAAGCAAAAAGAGAATCAGGTTCAATATACATATTATTGTTCTGTCTCATAACTTCGGTAGAGCAATAAAGACCTCCAAAATGACATCTCACAAACAAAATTGTGATGAGGACTATTTTTTTCAGTAAAAAAGTCTTAGAAATTAAATAAGTTAAATACTATTGATGAGAGATTTTCCTATTAACAGACAATCTCCCCTAGATAATTATATGCATAATAACCTTAAGCATTAATATCCATTGGTACATACAATGGACTAAACATTTTCTCTACTAGTCTGAGGAATATACCATATAGAATCAATACTAAACTAATATCATCACTGCAAAAAAGACAATTGTGGAATATAAAACTGTTGTAAAGATCTAAAAAAATCTACCATCACATCAATTGTGTGGAACTGTATGAAAGAATAAGGGATCTTGCCAACCTAGGCCTTGATCTTCCCAAGACATATATATGTGAATAACTATACACACAGTGTCTAAAGTTAAGCAGTGTGTCTTTGCAGGATTGGGGCCTAGGTAAGAAAGATACCTTTCATTCTTGTGTAGAATTCCACAATGAAGGGGAAATATGACGACTCTGAAAAGATTTGAGATAAAATGTTCAAAAGCAACTAAGTGACTGAGCACCTGAAGTCCCATTTTCAAAAGTGACTTAGAAGCCTAATTCCCATTGACTTTCAATTGACTTTCACTTTTTAGAATGGGACGTAGGCTCCTAAATCACTAAGGGTACATCTATACTGCAGTTAAACACCTGTGGCTGACCCAAAGACAGCTGATGTGGGTTCGCAGGGCTCAGGCTATGGGGCAGATTAACTGCGGTGTAGACCCTTGGGCTTGGGTTGGAGACCATGTTTTGGGACCCTCCCACCTTGCACGGTCTCAGAGATTGGGCTCCTGCCCAAACCTGAACATCTACCCAGCAGTTTTACAGCCCTGCAGCCTGTGCCCAAGTCAGCTGACTAGGGCCAGCCGCGGGTGTTTAATTGCTACGTGGACCTACCCTAAGACCTACCTGCAAATATTACTCTTGGGCTTTGTTTCTAGATCCTTATAATGAGCAAGCTATTAATATCTTTACATGTACATGATGCTTTACAAAACACATTAAAAATGAAGGTCCCAGCCCAGAGAGGCGTACAGTCTAACTTAGATAATTAAGATATGCAGGATAAGAGTGAAAAAATAGGTGTGCAGACATTGCTGAGAAGGTGATCAATGATGGAAGGGTTTTAAAAATAAATGTGTTCTAAGGGGGAATGGAATGAGGGGGTAAAAGCTGCTTGGTGGGAAGCTGTTTGAAGCAAAAGGGATGGCATGGAATAAGATGCGAAGCTGAGAGCAGCAGGAGACAAATGGAGTCATGAGGGGAGACAGAATGGAGGCATGTAGAGAATGGAAGGGAGTGTTGGATGAGATAAGGGCAGAAATGTCAGAAGGGCGACGAAGTTGGTCACAGAGAAACTGACCTTGATTTGTAACGTGAGAGGAAGCCGCGGCGGACAAATATAAGATGTAGCTCTCCATTTTATATAGTGCTAATTGTTTTAAACTTGGCTGTATGTAAATTTCTTCGTTTGCTGTCCCTCCCTCTTTGTACCATTTTAATACAATACATTTACATATTTGAAACAGAAAACCAAAACTAGATTAACATCTTCAGTTCTCCTTATTCTTTGCTTTGATTTTGGTTGAAGGAGCAGTAGCTTGGTCCTAAGCCTCTCACAGTGCAGTCAGTGTTGTCAATATCACATGACTCACAATGGCACTCTGTAGCCACTGGGTATGAATAAAATGATTCAGCATGGTCAGCACAGCCAGGGATCTTCACTGTTTCATAAACAAGCTCCTTGAAAGTACAGGTTTGCTGAACTGATGATGCCGGTGGGTACTTATACACTGGATCCTGAAAATGACAGGAAGGAAATATTTGACTTGAAATTAGTTTGAGACCTGTGATTTTTCTCAGAGTTTGTAAAAACTAGAATCTGCATGGCGGATCTGACCCAAAGCCCTGTGAACTCAATGGAAAGAATCCCCACTGACTTGTTAGGCTTAAAATTACAACCAAGTCTTCCAGTTTTCTCCTTTCAAAGACCCGATGTAGTAAATAGATGCAACTATGGTGTAACTATAAATGATTATTGTTTTTAGAACTCAAATTAACTTTTATATGAAAGGCACAGGCGTCTATTTGGTAATGATTGGATACGTAAACTCCAGTGCAACCACCAGATTATATCCTTTTCCAACCCAGTATTAAACAGAAATTGGCACAAGGCAGAGTACTAGACTGGAGTCAAAATATGGCCAACTTCTCAGCTGTACAAACTTTGTGATTATGTACCATCTCTGTAATGGATCAAATTGGGACACCAAATGTGAGCATCTTCAAAACTGAGGGGAAGATCCATCTGGAGCTAAACTTTAAGGCTTGGGCCATCTTTAGTATCTATGTTTTTCCATATTTCTGGTTCACAATACATTCAAAACCTATGCTCGTTACACTGAATAACACAAGAAAGATTTGTTAGCATCTTTACTGTGAGAAAACAAATACATAGTTAATAATCAATCATTTATGCTAATTCTTGACTCAAAATACTTGTTAAACTCTATACTGGATTGTCTTACAGAATTGACTAAGGTTTATATTTTTGATTTTGTATTGCGTTACCAAATGTGGTAGACTCTCAGTTGCTCTCAGGTATAATCACTAAGGCCAAATTCTGCTGTCAATGACACAGAAGCAATTCCCAGTGACGTTGATGGGAGCTATGCCAGAGTAACTGGGAGCAGAATTTGCCTCCACATATCAGCTTTCTTCTGAAAGGCTCTTTAATACCCAATCCTGCACAATGCTGAGCACTCCTTTGGGCTGCTGAGTGCCCTGATGTCACTGGGAGTTAGGAGGACTTAGTATTGCGAAGGAGCACTCAGCAACTTGTGACAGTAGGCCCTGAATATTCATGTCATAAAGCAAAGTCTTTTTAAAATTAAGGGAACTATATAAACCAACATTCCATGAGATGCACAGTGTTTATGTATGCATAGAAGGAAGGACAGTTGATAAGTGGCTTTCAAACAAAATTAATTAAAGGTTGATTTTCTTTTTTTACACAATCCACAGTTAGGAAACCTGTGTATGCAGTTGAATAAATGCTGAATTTAAGGAGACCAAGCACCTTTTCACTTGTCTCTCTGTACTTCAAGACAGCTGTGGCATTCACAGCTCCACTTCGTAACAAACATTGATTATTTAAGGCTGTTTCACATTTAACTGGACCCTGCCTGAGTCTTCTCATTACAGACTGTAAGACTGGCTTGTTTATATTCATTTTTGGGGAGTATTTAATTCCTGTCCATTATTTTGACAACTTAGATTCTCACCCTTGTGAAGCAGTATCCAGAGCACCAAGTGGCATTCACATTAATGCAGAACTTGCACTCCTCCTTCTCCACTGCTATGGTGATATTGGACAGCTCACAGATATTACCACAAATTGCTTTCCAGCAAAGTAACAGCAAGTAACAATTAATTGTCTTCATCCTGTAGTATAAAGCAAACAGTTCAGACTGGAAGAACATGTAGAGTTATTTGAAACATAAGATTTCTGTGGAAAAAGACAAAACCTGTGTTGATTGTCCTATTATCCACAAATGCTAATACAAGAACAATTTTTCTGCAACATTGAGGAACATTAAAAACACAGGTTTCAGAGTAGCAGCCGTGTTAGTCTGTATTCGCAAAAAGAAAAGGAGGACTTGTGGCATCTGAGAGACTAACCAATTTATTTGAGCATAAGCTTTCGTGAGCTACATCTGCAGTGAATGCATCTGATGAAGTGAGCTGTCGCTCACGAAAGCTTATGCTCAAATAAATTGGTTAGTCTCTAAGGTGCCATAAGTCCTCCTTTTCTTTTTATTAAAAACATACAGCACATTCAGCAAAATACAGTTGTAGGATTATTGTTAAGGGAGACTGGTTTTGTTAAATGACTAGAACTATATATCCAGTAATTTTTGAGAGAAAATGATTACAGCACACCAAGACATTTTCTATGAATAAATCCTATCTTAATTCTTGTTACAAAGAATCCTGGTAACATTCCTCTTCTGAAAAAAACTAGTGTAAATACATTAGAACTAAGGAATAGTAATGGTAAGGAATAATCAATTTTTAAAAAAGCAATTAAACATACATTTGCAATTTCAAAAACACCACAAATCCAACCAACAAACCTTAATTCAAGAGCTGATGAAAATTCACATGTATTCTACTTGTTTTGCTGGTAATAGCTGTAGAGAGAGCAAAGCCCCAAGCTTGCCTTTTATACTAAATCATGTGTAACTTACACCTTGAAGATTTGCAGGGTATTAATATAGTTTGGTGCGTGGTGAAAGAGGATTAATTGTTAGCCAGACAGTGAGATCAAATATTGTTTTTTTAAAAGCAATACTCTAAATTCAGCAGATGATGAGGCATGTTATTGTCACAGAAATAATAAGTTAAAAATTTTATCCATTAGCATGTATTGTAATTATTATTTAAATGGTAGCATCATTTGGAGCCGATGGAATAGCAGATATATTTTCTGTCAATAATTGTTTGAATTAAAAAACAAAGGGTGAGATGTTCACACCCTTTTTGTGATGTGTTAATGGAAACATTAAATTATTTGTTGTGAATTATAAACTCCAACATTCAGTAGATTTTTCTGGTGTGAGATAAAAGCATAAAGCTGGGATTTAGAAAACAGAAGTCAAGTGAACCATTATAGTGCTAATCCCCGTTCCTCTCCAAATCATCCATTGTGCTGCCAGAGGACCCCATACCTCCATGTTTTACTCCCATGTAGGGGAGTGGAAACCTTGTAAATTTAAACTGGTGGCATTTCCTTGGAATTCTTCTGCTGGTTTTTGAGTGGTTCCCCCATTAAAGTCATGGGTCTGTGAGAGGCATAAGAGGCTTCCACGTGGAGGCCTCTGCTCTCCCTGCTCCTACTCAGTGTCCTTCTTTCCCTGCAGCCCCTGAAGAACAAAGCTCCTACAGCAGCTGTGCTGCTTCACTGGCAGGAGCCATTTCACTGACCATCTGCTACCTCTGAAGACCCGTCAAAGATGGACTTCTGCACCATGGAGGGGGAAGCTAGGTAAATCATTGCACACTCTCTCCAGTAAGGTGCATTGGTTTCCACTATGGGCTTTTAACAGGGGGATCTAGCAGTGTCCAGCTGTATTCTCAGCTGTAGGGGCAGTAGCTTGCAGAGCACCAGTGTTAGGCTTTTGCAGGACTGAAGAGCAGGGGGCATGTAGAAGATGCCGCACTCCCCTATTTGTACCTTTTCTGCTGTGATCGGCAGATGAGAGATCCCCTGTGCTGTAGAACGGCAGGGAGCATTTTGCCCACAGTGTGCTGCCAAAGCAATAGAGATGTAGTCAGAATAATAAATTCTATTTTAACTTTCTGGACACATTAAAAACAACCAACCAACCAACCAACTCATAGCATTAAATTGGCTTATCCCCCTGAAACGGCTACTAGATTCAAAGTTAAAATAATAACAACGATCCACATCAAAAATTGTCCAACTAACAAGCTACTTCCTGTGAAGATAGGGAGAGTAGAATGGATTTGAACACCACTGCCCCTACTGGTTGGAATGCTTGGTCTGCTCAAGTGGTAATAGGTTTCTGTTAGCGGAGCTGCTTTTTTAGCTCTCTTTGGCAGAAATACGATTTTGAGAGGGGCTGAACAGGTTAGCTGAACTTCAGGTACCTCCAACCAAAAGATGTTAAGAGGCCTGTGTGTATTCCTACATTCAAAATGAGTATACTGCCAGCTAAGGGCATCTTTAGTATAGGTATCCCCTCACTACTTAAAATTGAGCCTGACTTGCAAAGAGGCCTCATCCTGGCATCCATTTGTCCCCCTTCATGTGCACTATTTTGATGAATATTTTTCACACTAGCACTTGTGTATACAGGTGATGGCATGTCTATTAGAATTGGCTGGATGGCATCAATTCTGTTTCATGACAACTTTCAAGGTTTCAGAATTTGTTTTTGTTCCGCATTGGAATAAAAACAATTTTTTAAAAAGGTTTTGCTAAACAGAATTGTGTCAAAATGTCATTTTCAGTGCAAAAAAGTCAGGTTTTCAATTCATATCTCTCTCTCTCTGGTGTCTCTGGACTTCAGAAACCTTCCCATCAAAACTGATGTTTTTTATATGGCTTTGGCAAAACAGCATATCATTCTGTCCAGCTCTAATGTCTGTGCATCAAACCCATTCATATTAAAAGTAGCTCCAGCCAATAGCTACAATGTGTGGAGGTGGTCAATAACTTCAGGATGCATCTATGTGTTCTCCCTAGCAATTAGGTTTACTCTCTGTGGCTTTGGAACCCTGAGGTATATGAGGGATCTGTGGGCTAGCATCTTTGGTAGCTAATGCCCACAGGGCCTTATATAATATGGCTTGTTGATTTTTGGGGGCCAAAAAATTTCCAGTGGCTAAAAGTCAACCTCTGATATTACACAAGTAAGTTTTGCACCTGTAAATGGTTGGGCACATAACACCCTCATATAGCTAGATATAGAGCTAAGTGAGTTAAAGTTCCTTCCCCAGGGACTGTGCCTTGCCATGGAGGGAAGGCATGCATGCCCCAATAACTCTGAGAACTATGCTGGCAAGAGCATAACTCCTGGAAGGGTCACCCATGCCAGGCAGGTCAAAGGGTATGAGCCAGACTAAAAGTAGTCCACCATCCCTCCTGGTAGGAGGTTGGGAGTAGGCCAATGACCTGCTCCTGTAAAAAACAGTCATTAAGGAAACCAACACTTCTCTCAGTGAGGCAAACTCAATTCAACTCAAACCAATTCTTATCGGCCTAGAAGACAGATGATGACGCAAAGTGGCCAAACCTCCAAGGAAGCTACTCTGCTGATGAATTTTCTCTCTCCTAAATCCATAACTAAAATTGGTACATGGAATGTGAGAACTTTATGAGAGCTTAGTAAAACGGTCCAAGCAACAAAAGAAATGGACAGATATAAATTAGATATATGAGGCCTAAGTGAAATGAGATGGGTAAAACAGGACAAATCAATTTGTCAGCTGGACACATTCTACTAAATCCTGGGCTACCAAAACATACACAGAGAGGCATGGGTCTGATATATCAAGGAGGGCAGCCAAAAGCCTGATAGAATGGGCATCAGATTCAGAAAGGATAACAGTATAATTTACATCCAAGTTCCAGAAAGTGTCTATTATTCAATGGTATGCTTCAAAAAAATCAAGCTAGCCAAGAGGAAAAAAGAACGTCTATTAGCAGCTACAGAATATAACAGAAAATGTCCTGAAAAGAGATGTCCTCCTAGTAAATGGAAACACGAATGCTAAAGAAGGGAGCAACCAACACTGGCAGGGAAGTAATTATGGGTGAAATGACCGAAAATGGTGTAATGTTTGCAGATTTTTGTGGATTGAATGACTTGGTCCCTGGAGGGACTATCTTTCTTCACCATACTATTCATGAGATAACTTGGAGGTCAACAGATCATAGAACAGGGAACCAAACTATCACATTACAATTTGGTGCAAATAGAGAAGAACTATTGAAGATATACACAGCAGGAACAGAGCAGATGTGGGATGGACCATGCACTAGTAGTAGCTAAATTGAGAATAAAAATAAGAACAAAGAAGAGACTGGAACAGCAGAGATGCCCATGTTATAACATCACCAAGCTAAAACAGTATGTAAAATTAAACTGAAACTAAATCACACAATAAGAAGAACACAGACACAGCAACTCCAGGAGGAATATGCTGTAAAGAACAAAAAGAGTCCTAGAACAGACAAATGAGACTTTATAGACAACATAGCAACAGATGCACAGATGGCTGCAGCACAAAATGATGTGAAGACCCTGTACAACGTGATAAGACAGTTGTTAGGAAGAAAAACAGATGCAAACAGACCAGTTTAAGATAACAAGGGCAACTTAACAATGAAAATGTCAGCACAATTAAATGTATGGAGGAAGTACTTTAATCAGCTTCTGAATCATGAGCAGTGGCCAATCCCCCAGATATATAGGAAGGAGAAGATCCATCTGATGTTGAAATAGGATCTGTCATGAGAATAGAAGTAGAGAGGGCAATCAATTGGTTAAAAAGTGGAACGGCACCAAGTCCAGATAACATTCCAAGGGAGGGTCTTAAGGCAGACTTGAAGCACACAGTAGACATTTTGATAGGCCTCTTACAAAAGATATGAGAAGAAGAAAAAACACCAAATGAGTGGAAAAAGGGTCATATTATGAAGCTGCCAAAGAAAGGGAACCAAAGTCACTGTGAAAACTTGAAGGAATTTAATTGCTAGACAGAATAAAGAAAGCAGTATATTCAAGGTTATAGCGAGAACAGGCAGGATTCAGGCAGGAGAAATCAAATAGTAACCCAATGTATCATCATAGAAGTGTTGATCAAATGGCAGTTATGACTGCTATAGATCTCCAAAAAGCTTTTGGTAGAGTGG